AGATCAATGAATTGTAACCTAGTTTATAAACCTTAGAAATAAATATAGTTTAAATAATTATTTTGGAAGTTGATCACTTTCAACCACTGAATGCAAATGTTTATTAGTGATAAAAATTGTGTCCCATGACTAAAATAATTTCCAATGAAAGATTTCAAATACTATCTTAACCTACTGGTATCAATAATGATGAGAATTGAATTAGTTGTACATTCAAAGTTAACAGCTTTTTTTGGATGTTAACAGTACCTAAGCAAACCGATGTAAAGATAGTAAGCCATGCTAAATAAATAAATGCTGCAACAATAATGTTCAGCAGTACTTGTTTTTGATGAGTACAAATACCAGCTAAGTACTGAGGCTTCAATTATCAAATATATTAAAATAGTTGAATTATGATTTTTTTTTAGCTATGTGAGCATATAACTCTTACCTAAATTAAAATATATAGCATCCATTCACAGCAGAAATATTGATGCAACTCCAAATTAGGATTCAAATGCACCATTATAATACTAGCAAAAACTTGAAAAATTATGTTATCTATGCACATGAAACTTAACTATCCGATGCTGTGAAAGAATTCAAGTCATCCCTAAGTTATTAAGCATAACTAACGAAAAAAAGTATTGTAAACCCTATAACACATATACAGCCCTTTATAAAATTTACCATTTGTCTCTGTGTTGGTGAAGGTCTCCTCTTGCTGTTCAGTCTCCATTACTTTTTATTCTTCAATTGGTAGATACAACCTGTCAAAGAACAATAAGGATAGTACATCTACTTTATGAAAAAACAACCCGTGCATCTTGCTAAAAGGAACAAGCAAAGAGACTACGGCTTCTAGAACTTACCAGTATTATATATCCTTGCAGAGCAAAACTGAAGTGTTCTGGGCGGGATCAAAAACCAACAGCCTATTGCTTCAGTAGCCTATTAAAACCAACATACATCAGTTTGGTTTTGTTCATTTATGGCTCTGATATTTCACTACATTAAAAAATGTGGATTTGAACAACAGTGTATCCAAGTTCCAGGGGCTGGATTGGGCTTTTGTTGTGAAGACTGTCACGTAAGTTTTAGCTTAGACACGAAACGCCTGATTAGGTCTAAACAAAAACTGAAGTCTCAAAATTCTAGTTACAACAACCCATATCTTGTTTGTTAGTTGTTCAAATTTTTCAAATTATACCTTAAAAGTTCTGATTTAACAAATGACAACTTTGAACTCTAAAATGACGTGCTATAAATCCCTATTACAATATACAAAGTGACACTAATTTCAGAGTGTTGCACACAATCAATGGGGACACCTGCCTATTTCTTGGCATTTGTCTAGTTCTAACTAGATGGACTAAGGAAACACAATTACACAAGATACTGACATTCATGTTTATATTTTAATACATTAACAAATGGGCTTTCTTTGCAACATTATCTACCATTAGGCAGAGATAGGAAAATAAGAAAACTGTACTGCAGTTCAGTGCAGTCCCTTACGTATATGAGCAACATATACTGAACATTAAAACTGAACCCCTTCAACTGTAAGCAATATGCACACTTGCCATGGTCAGCACTTCTTAAGTATCTATTTGAATACTCGAACATACCCTCCTTTGCCTGAAATGCCACTGAAATAAAGAGACTGACTCAGCATCCTCCTTAAATGTCCCCTAGCATTCTCTTTAAATGTGGCCTACCCTCACTTCAAGGAGCATAAAATGCTTCTGATGCAATACAGTGTCCCCCCATTTCCTGTCCTCCTTATTTTCTGTCTCAAGTTTCTGGGGGTTTAGCCTTCAACAGTGGCTGGCAGCCCGCCATTTAGGTGCAGCCTAGCTAGCCGGAGGGGACGCGTTATTAGCATAACCGGAATACGTTAATTCCTTCACCTCGGGCTAACTGCCAGCCGACCCGTTTGTAGGGGCTGGGACAGACACAGGCAGCCGCCCTAACGACGGGCTACAGAGCTGAGGCTCCCCCCCTCCCCCGGGCCTGCCGCAACGGTGCCCACTCAGAGCGCTCCCCTCGGGCACCCAGATCCTCCCGTTCTCCACCTCCCCGCACGCATGCGACGGTGGCGCACCCGGGACCCTGCTGGTCCCGCAGCCAGCAGGGACTGTACGAGCAGAGTCCGCTCGCCCGCCCTCGCGAGCGCCCCCGCCCCAGGCCTGCCTCGCGGCGCCAGAGAAATGGCGGCAGCTGCAATGGCGGCCGCCCGCTGCTAGGCGGAGCCCCGAGCGGAAGGGCCTGCACCACGCGGCACCACCAGCCGCCACTCGCGGCCCAGGATACACACAAAGGAGGCGCCTAGCCGAGCCCCGCAACGCCCGCCCCTCCCCCCCTTCCTCAGGCCCAGCTCCGGCTCCACCGCCGCGTGGCCTAACCCCCCCACATACGGTTCCTCTCCCCTCAGTTCTGAGCGCAGCTCCCCCCACCACGGCCTCCCGCCTGCGCGCGTGGGACTGGCACCGCACATCGGTTGCTCCTGGGCGGCCACCGCCACCACCGCCTCTTACCGCGCCGCACCCGCCACCTGCCCCCGCCGACTGCGCGAGAGAAAGGGGAGCAGCCCCCACCGCCAACCCACCGCGCCGCCACGCCATTGGCTCAGTCCACCGCCCCCCGCGCCCCAATTGGCTATCCGAGCTGCCCATCGACCGCGGGAGGCGGCGCCCCCTTTGCCCCGCCCTCCGTGTGGCGGCCGCCGCCGCAGCACGGCTCGGGCCCGCTGGCTAGGGGGAAGCGGGCTAGGGTAAGGCGGCTCCGTGCCTCCCCCGCGCCGCCAAGGGGTCCGTCGCGCTACGGGCGCCGCTCACCTGTGCACCAGGGGTGGCGAAAAGAGCGGCGATGGCGGCAGGAGACAGCCGGGGAGCGCGCGGAACGCGAGAGCGGCCGCCGTCGTGGGGAGACAAAATGGCGGCGGAGAAAACTCCGCCTCGTCGATCGCCCGGGGGGAGGGGGCGGGGCGGGTCGCTCTCGCGAGGCTGAAAGGCGCGCGCGCCGGCATGAGCCCTTCACTTCCCTTTTCCTCGCTTCTGATTGGCTGCCGCGGCGGCTCGCGAGGACGGGGTCGGGGTGTCTGCGGTGCGCTGAGTTCTCGACCCCCTCCCCCCACGCCTCTACGCGCACACGCGGCGCGCGGGGGAGGGGCTCCGCACCCACGTCCGTTCGTGGGGTGGGGGTCACTCCGGTAGAAGAGCCTCCCGGATGGAGGTGGGTACGCGTGAATGTGTGTAGGGGAGCCCCCCCCCCCCCC